AGAATGTGCAAAATCCACATAGACTGTCACCCAAGGGTGGAATTGAACCTGGGTCCCTGGCGCTGTGAGGCAGCAGTGCTAACCACTGAGCCACCGTGCCATATAGAACCTTTAATAATGTATGAACATTCCAACACACTTCAGAGAACTATTATCAGTCAGATTTTGACATCGAGACAGATAATGAGATATTAAGACAGGTGACCAAAAGCCTGGTCAAATTTAGGTATAAAATCATGACGGGCATAGATAAAGTGAATAACAAAGGCTCTTTTCCCTGGAGTGGGGGAGCTCAAAACTAGGGGGCATATTTTTAAGGTGAAAGGAGAAAGATTTAAAAGGGACATGAGGTGTACCCTTTTTTACGCAGAGTGGTTAATGTGTAGAATGAACTGCTACAGGAAGAAGTGGATGCAGGTACAGTTACAACATTTAAAAGATATTTGAATAAGTATATGAATAGGAAAGGTTTGGAGGGATATGGGCCAAACAAGGGCAGGTGGGACTTGTTTGGTTCGGGGACATTGTCAGTGTGGACTGGTTGGACCGAAGGATCTGTTTCCATGCTGCATGACTCTATGATTTTATGAAAACAGAGAACAGTAGTGATGTGAAGGGGGTTGGTCAGATCAGTTGGCTGGACAGTTTATTCACAATGCAGAATCAATGTCAACAGCACGGATTTAATTCCCACAATGGCTGAGGTTACCATAGAGGACTCTCTTTCTCAACCTCTCCATTCACCTGAGATGTGGTGACCTTCAAGTTAAACTGTTATCACTCTCTAATGAGAGACCAACTCTATAGTCAGGTAATACTATGGCAATTTTACCTTTTATTTTAAGATCAGTTTAGGGAAGAAAGTCTAGGATTTAGTGTTGAACATTGGGAATGCACAACTTGTCATATTTGTAGGAGCAATTAAATTTCAGAGAGTTCTGAGGGTTAAGAAGTTTATAGAGTCTTAGAGTCATACACAGCATGGAAACAGACCCTTCAGTCCAAATAGTCCATGCCAACCATGTTCCCAAACAAACCTAGTCCCATCTGCCTGCACTTAGCCCATATCCCTACAAACATTTCTTAACTAAATGATTTTTAAATGCTGTAACTGCACCCACATCCACCAATTCCTCTGGAATTTCATTCCACACATGAACCATTCTCTGTAAAAAAGTTGCCCCTCATGTCTTTTTTAAATCTTTCTCCTCTCACCTTAAAAATATATCCCCTAGTCTTGAAATCCCCCACCCTAGGGAAAGAATATTTGCTATTCACCATAATCTATAGCCCTCATGATTTTGCAAACCTCTATATACTCCAGTAAAAAAAGTCCCTGCCTATCCAGCTTCTCACCAACGTCCTGAACAACCTGGAAATGATGCAAATTGTGCCTGCAAATTTTATCCTCAGGAAAGAGATTCCAACAAATTAGAGATATGAAGGATTGAAGCCACGGAGGGATTTTCAACACCAATTGGTCATTTTAAAATTGTGAAATTCGGGTCATTCACAGGGTGAAAGGTGAATGGGACTAAGTGTAAGTTACGATATTGACAGCAAATTTTTTGAATGATTTCAAGTTTATCAAGGGTGAAGGGTAGGAGGGCATGTAGGAGTGAATTGGTATAGTCAAACTGATTGCTCCATTCAGATATTTAAAATGTCGTGTCCTATTGTGTCTTAATTATTATTACATAACACTGCTGATATTGACCTCATTGCATTTATCTGCCCTTTCCTGAATTTCTACATGCTTAAAATCTTAGTTTAAATTGTTGCAATTGAATCAGTTTCATGATATAGATCAGAGCTTAAACTGAGAAAGGTTTTACTGACCTCCATGATCAAGGCCTGTCCTGGATTCAGTTCAAACACTGCCGGCCTGATTGCAAAAGGAGTTACATCTAGAAACCCAGCAGCTGCCACACTCTATGGAATAAAAAGGAGGCACTGGTTAAATCCCGAATCCTTAATATCAAGTAACAAGATTTTTAAACTTTTGTTAAGATGGATGGTGGCCATAATTCTATTATGTTATTTCAGCACGCAACTGAATAAAAGCAATGGCATGACAAGTCTACGAATGCTCAAAGTGGCAGCAGGAAGCACTCCCTTCAGGTAGTCACATCTCTGGGTATAGCGTGGTGTGAATAATGAGTCACTTCCATTTACTACGCCTGGCATCAAAAGCAATGAAATTGATAACTTTTGTGCTGTAGGCTTATATCCACTGCAGGCTGGACAAAGCTATTTCCAAGACAACAAGGTGCAGAGCTGGATGAACACAGCAGGCTAAGCAGCATCATAGGAGCAGAAAGGCTGACGTTTCGGGCCTAGACCCTTCATCAGTTTTCTGATGCCTGCTGTGTTCATCCAGCTCTGCACCTTGTTGTCTCAGATTCTCCAGCTTCTGCAGTTCCTACTATCTCCAAAGCTATTTCCAAAATCATTTCAGCAAGAACCCTCACAGCCAGATTACCGTAGAGTCTTTCAGTACAGGAGTCAGCCATGCATTTCAGCATGTCATTGTGGCTCTTTGTAAGAGTATTTAGACTCAATTAGACTCACTTTTCTGTTATATCCCCATAGTGCTACAATTTTCTCTTCTGCATGTGTACAGCCAATATGTTTTTTAAAGTGGTTTGAGCCCAGACAAAAGTTATGTTATGATCTAGGTCGTGACCAATAACTTTCTTCTAGAGTTGACAAAATGTGAGATCTAGATACCCTACCAAGAGAATAAAGTCGCAAGATTTTATGATAAAGGGATAACAAGGTGTAGAGCTGGATGAACACAGCAGGCC